GGAAGAAAAGAATCAGAGGAAGTCTTAGAGCATATGATAAACACAACTTATAGCAGTAATATGACAAAACATAGCGTGACTTTCAAGCATTAGGTAAGGAAAGAACAGCCAAACTGGTGAGACCAAGGGTTCTGAGAGGCCAGCAGAAGACGTCAAGGGAAGAACATAAGAGGATGGCAAGCATAAAATCTTACATCCATGGGATACTTTCAGACAGCTCTGGTCTCAATTGTTTCTCTAATAATGCCTAAATTCAATTTTCTTCCTTGACTGCTACTGAATATTGAGATGACATTTTCATTGAGCTACCTATAGTAACTACTGTACCTCATTCATGAACCGTAGCACTTAGTTCACATCCTGAATATACTGAATATTTTCATTTCGTCACTAGTCCCTATAGCAATCATAATTTTTAAAAATGAAGATACATTTGTGGACTATGCCTGAACAATAAATACATCCAATAGCTTCTTAGCTGTTTTCAGCCATTCAGAAGCAGAAACAAAGAGATTTTCTAAGCACTTTGAGGGTTTGGTTTTGGTCTCTTGGGTTGCTTTTTCCACCAAAATCACACAGAGGGTATTAGAATTATTATTAATTCACAAGTATGTCCTGATGTGCTCATTCAAGGCTTTCTGACTGTATACCATAAGCAGTTATGAGACAACTGAAAGAAAAGTAAAAAAATAAAAATAAAAAAAATGACCTGCTATATATTGTTGCTCATGAGTCAGTGAAAGTTGTAGGTCATTGCCTCACTGCTGTGCTTCCAGAATTTCTTCTGGCAAAATGGCAGGACTGTGCCCATATTAAAAGTAATGATACTACTACTAATTTGCTAATATCTTAGAATTGTTGCTGAGTGGTCAAACTTATACTGAAAATTTGCATCAGTACTTGATCTAGCCAAGAGCAAACAGAAAGCTGAAAGCAAGCATTTGGTTTTGTTGTTTTTTGTATTCTTTTTTTCTCAAATAAATTACTTCATTTACTACAAAGACATCTACCTACACTAGCTTGGGGCTGCGTCAGTTTAGGGTTTTGCTTACAATGAATTACTTTGTGTGTTCTTTGACAGGGAGCCAATTTTGTTCAGAATAATATCTGTACAACTATGCTGGAGTCAGTAAAGCCTTGAACTTGCAGACTTACGCCCATATTTTTTTATGTACTGCAAACAGGCTGGCTGATGTCAATGAGAAAAGGCACAATGGATAAGAAGTGAAACACATACAAGAGTTCGTAGGAGGAGAACCTACAAAAATGTCATTCAACTTGTAGAGTTTTGGTGTTTGCTACAAAAGCACATTCCCACAAGCATTTCAAGAGTATCTGACACTTTGTAAACCACATTTATCAAAAAGAAAGTGCAAAAGCTACCCTTTAAAGTTTATTGTACAACTGCATCACATTAGTAACTATATGCCCCACAGCAGTTGGACTCAGTGATCCTTGTGGGTCCTTTCCAACTTGGGATATTCTATGATTCTCTGTGATACAGTGGAGCAACCATCCTCATTACACCATGCATAGTTTCAAGCCACACACTCCCACAAAGGGTATATGAAAGAGCTGTCTCTATTCAACCTCAACACTAGAAGGGGTGCCCGTAAAACGCAGTGATGTCTCCCAGAAGTGACTAAAATGTTCAGTGAGCTACACGAAGAAGCCCATAGCAAAGTCAAGAATGGAAGTCTGATCTCAAAACACAGCCTCACGTTTTTTCCACAAGACCACCAAGTGGATGCACATTTCAAACACAGTGGAAAACACTTGGGAGTCATCCTGTTTCCTTGAATTTCCCTCATTTGTAGCTGGGCTGTCAAAACGTGCTCGGTAGCAATGCTATGCATGGAATTTGCCAACAGTGGTAAGAAAATTAGGAGCAATTAGAGAGCAATACTAGTTAAAGTAATCTCAATTCTCACAACCATTTCTTCCCACAACCCATATTTGAAGTCAAATTCTGGAAACTCCATTTGATCCTTATTCATCCAAACATGCGCTCACCCTCTGAAGTGCCTGCCTGGGAGTTTTTTTCCGAAAAGCGCCGAACAACAATGTCAATTGTTGGCCCAAAGTCAGCTGGAAACAAGCCACAACCTAGACACAGTTGGCCCTCAGGATATGCTTCCAAAGACCTTGACAAACTTAGAATTAAATTTTAATTATCCCTGTTCAGTTTGATTTATACTAATTGTCAATATCTGTGGTTTGAAATAACACATTTTACAACACGATCAGTCAGACAAAATATTTTCCTAATGACTAAAGGGAGGAAGAGTCTGCAGTAAGTCCAAGAATTATATTATCAATCTTATTTATTATTTTTTTAAACCATAGAACACAAACATTTTAGGAGACATTGATCTGAAATTGGGGTGAAAGGCTGAAAAATACTGTTTTTCTGGTTTTGCAGCAGTCAGATTTAGGAGTCTAATCCTGCAGACACGTTAGCAGTTGAGGTCCCAAGAGTTCACAGAGATAATTAATGGTGTTAGAAACACTCAGAAATTTTGAAGAGTCCACAGAAGCATACAAATTTTACTTGCCAACTATTTTTCTTTAAATAATTCTGGTGTGCTAAGTGTTGGTAATTTATTCAGTTGGACAAAGATTTGTGTGACGTTCTTCACAGCAAGTAAGCCCACAACCCGTCTGTACCCACGACAAGTCCATTAACGTATTCAACTCATTTCATTCCTGTAGAATTGCACAGAAAAGGTCACTTTTAACACTAGGCTATGGGGTTCGTCAGGTTCTGGGCAATACTTCTGAAATAAATGACTGCCATGACTTAAAGGACAGCAGGCAGAACAACAAACAAACTCTTTCTGAAGTGGTGGCAGCATTTCTTGCCTTCCAGCAGTGGCCACTAGCAGAACTACAGGCTCAAGCTGTAGCTGTGCCATGATTTTTTTTTTTTTAATCAATACTTCAAGTTGCTCAGAAATGATCTGCTTTCCTGCTTTGAATCATTTACAACAAAATTACTCCATATGGTGGTAAAAATCAAAAGCAGAGGGGTAGATTAAAAATCTAAGAGCAACTCAATTCACATGAAATAAGAACTGCTAAGCTTCTGTGAAAAATAGATCCCAATAATGTTAGCAGAGGAGCATTTGGAGGCCATAAACCATGGCAATATTGCAGTTGCTGTCCCTGTGCCGAGCAAACAGCTCACCAGAAACAAATCGCATCATTTGCAACCAGTGTATCAGTAGGTCACTGTAACAGACGATGTACATAGGCCTCTATTCTCAATGATCCTTTTTTTTTTTCCCATGTATAAAATGGATAAAACTTATATACTTTCCCATTTGTTTATTATTTATTTATTTATTTATTTATTTCTGTGACTGGGCTCTGAAATTGCTTCTGCCATGGGTCTATGAATTCCCAGCCTGTATTTGATTCATTCTTACCAGCAGTCACTTAAGCTGAAAAGACATTATAAGCTTTTGTGATTTTGTTTGCTTTTTAAAGGTAGTCTCCTGTAACGACTCCTTTCTAATAAGCTACTTGCTTTTCATAATATCAATTGGATGAAACATTTCACTTCATGCCTCAAATCTTGCCTCATTTACACCCATCATTCACGTTGGCTATAAATAAAATTACCATCGCCTTTCTCTTAAATAACTCATGTGAGTAAAACTTGCCCATCCTGAATCCCATAGACAATGGAAAAAAGAGGGGACTTTCTAGCTTTTCTGCACTTTACCCTCGGAAACACACAGCTGGTAAGCCAATGGACTTCCTCACACGAGATCATTGCTCATTCACAAAGACGAGCCCAGAAACTCCACGTATCATCTGGGAATACTGTATATTAATCTTCTTGAACAACTCCTACCCTGCCCTAAAGCAAAATTTGTCCTTTAAGAATTACAGCACATTATTCTATAACAACATTTTTCTTCTCTTCTCACCCAGGCAGCAGAAATATGAGAAGGTGAAGGAAAACTCTGTGGCAGTTCCCCCAGAGGAGGCTGAAGTCTCCATCTCAGCCCAGCTACAGACATTGCTGGATTCTGATTCTCTGCCTCTGAGAGCAACACAGCCTTAAAATGTTTCTGACAGCTTCTTCTAAAGTTAGCCCATCAGTTGCCATCCATCTACATGTAACATTGGCAGCTGCAATGGGCTCCGCAGAGGCCTCAAGTAATTCTGCGCAGAACCTGTCCTCCTGGATAGAGGGGAAGAATTTATGCCCAAGACTGCTAATTTTGAGCACAGACACTTCTACATCCTCACAAACTATAAAAATCTAGGCTGCTGGCCAAATCAGTGCTTAGGAGGATGAGCAGGGAAGACTTAAGCAGCAATTCAAGGGAACAGAAACAACTGTGGCTCCCAAGGAAGAAAGCAAGAATAGCAAAAAGTATCAAAATACCATTAAATATTGAAATTCCGCTAGGTATTTTGGGGAAGAGATCGGTGGGGCTTTAGGGGAATGTATTTAGGGGAAGATACACTCGGTTTGTGTCCCTTGTCCTGTGTGATCTCATGCTAGGATAAGGAATGCCAGGTCCTACCCCCGAAGAAACTTCCCCTTTGCCGGAGGTCACGGTGTTTGCCACTTCTGCAGTCTCCTGGAGGCAAAGCCTCTTCGTTGCCTCTTCCAGAGCTGACAGACCTCATCACTGCCAAAGCTCTGCTCAGCGCAGCACTGGGGTGCAGGAGCAGAGGGAGAAGCAGAGGCTTTCCAGAGCAGACACCCAGGTAGCATCCCCCAGCCCTGGGACAGGTCATCTGTGCAGGCCTGGATTACCAGCTCTGCAATGCCAGCAATGTGGATAACACAATGCCACGGTAGGATTAACACCTAATAATTTTGCTGTCATTTGCTATTGCATATTTCTAGAACTGCGATAATGCCCTGAAAGCTGCGTATCAGCTATTATTTCAGGGAAGGCTTTGTGAGAATTATCTCTTAAAGCGGAAGGTTTCTATAGAGTCGTTGTGCTTTAACTGTATGTGCTCACAGTCCAAGGTTCATTAATTCAACAGACAATTTATTCTTTTGCAAAAATGATACTCCAGAAGCTACTATTTGAACAGAAATAACATTTCACATGAAGCAGACTCCACAGGGAAGAGACTAACTACCAGATGTTTTATGTTCATTTAATAAATTTATGAAATTGCAAGCTTGACTGAAAAGAAATCTAAGAGAAAAAAAAAATCTGTTTGGAGAACAAATGTTGCCTTCATATAGCTGTTTATCAATACCAACAAGACAGCGACACAGCACAGAGTTTAAATCTTTAACTGCTTAACATCTCCCAAGCAAAGATATAATAGAGCAATGACCTCAGGATCTGTCCCCAGAGTTGAGAACAAAATAGAAAAAAACACAGGTTTGTCAACTTAAGGTTGTCTGCAAGTTAAAAGAGTCTTCTAAGCAAATCTGTGTTCATCTTCCTTGGGCAATAATGAGCTTTTTCTGCCACAAGTTTTCTAGTGTAGCAGTAAGAGGTAGATTTACTGCATTTAACTTTCAATTCTGTACCACAAATAGTAAAAAAAAAAAAATGATAAAACTTAGAAAAGAGCACAGCACAGCAGCCTTCTTCCGGCACATGGGAAGGATCTTCAGTGCAGACCCTGGGCCGAAGCTAGGATTGGCATCCCTGACATCGAATTCACCCAAATTGCCTCTGAGGTGCAGAATCCTTTAACAGGATGGGAGTAAAAGGCTTCACAAAGAACAAAGATGTAAAACCAATTGAGTCAAAAGGAGAGGAATGGGTTTTGATCATTTGTGTGGTGAAGGTGAGCTGTGTCTGGTGGAAGTCCACGCAATGTGTGCTGTGCTGACACCATGTTTATTTATACACAGCATAAATGCCCTCGGGGCTGGGAGTTCAGGGGACAGCTTTACCCTAACATACAGCATCCTTGCTCCACTCCTTTCCTTTTCATCAGGAAAGTATCTCTCCATGGGATAGGGGTTTTCTTATCTGCAGAGAACATGCAGAGCTCTCATACATCCCACTGCAGAGTCTTCAACAGTATTTAAGGGCTGATGTGGGGGTTTTGGGGGAACAACCTTCATGGAAAGAGTAAACATTATGACTCCAGCCATCAGCCTGTGAATCACTCGGATAACTTCTTAGCACAGAGAAAGGCAGCGTGCCATTGCAACAGCACATCCACACATTCACACACTTGAATAAGACTTCTTTTGGCCCAAAATGTCTGGTCCAGATTTCAACTCCCAGGCTATTGGCTTGGCATCAGGCTGTCAGTCGTACAGCCTGGGATGGCAGCCCTCATTCTCCTGCTAACTCGGTGCCTTCTGTTTCTAAGCAATGGACGCCGGATCCCTGCGGGAGTTCTGAATTGCTGGATGCACGTCAGGAACCTGGCAAAGGAACTTCAGGAGAGGGGTGGGAAGGAGTCAGAAGAAATGATAAAAAATAAATTAGATGGATTTAAGTTTGATTCAAAAAGAAAAGCTTTTCTGAGTCCCAGTGGCTCCTGACTCACCGTTCCAGCCTGTACAGATACAAAAGGTGGGATGCCCAAACTCAGAGGGGGTGGTGTACACTACATAGGGACTATAACTAGCACAGGGCACTAGATAGCTGAAGCTATCCAGTTCCACAGGGACCAAGATTTCCTTTGGTTCGCTTCCATTTCCCCCCTCTGTATCCCTTCCCTTATTGCAACTGAAAGTGGGAAATCCCCAGGGCTGTGAGGAACCCAGCAGCCACACAGACACATCCCACAGGCTCGGGATACCAACCCTACACGAGCAGAGATTGTAAAAGCTGAGAGAACTTTCCCATCTGTCATTTCCCAGCCCTCTTTTACTTCAGACTGTCACACACAGTGCATGAAGGATACCAGCAATGACACCGCTGTGTATTTTCCTCACTATGCAGTGTGTGGAGAATCACGCTTGTAAAATGCACAGGGAGAGATCAGTGGGGTGGCACCACGTACCACACCTTCATTTGATTTTCACTTCACTCTTAGACACTCAATATTTAAGCATTAACAGTCTAACGCATAAACTTTATGGATGGGTGCTCTTCAAATGAGACAGCGTCAAAGATTTTGTGCCAAAACGACTATTTTCTCCAATAAAATTAAGTCCTTTACACTTCCATGCATGCCTTTTATGTATATGAGACCTTTAACCAAAACATATGCTTCTCTTCTGCAGAGTAATTTCTTCCTTTGTCAACAGTACATGCACTGACTGCTGAGCGGAGAAGAATCCAAAAATTTTAACTTCAGTTTTCGGCTTTCCTAACCTTATACAATCACTACAGTCATGTCTCACTTGACAGCAGTTGACTCTAAATGTTTCTGCTTCCCTAGAGGGGAAAAAAAAAAAAAAAAGAAAAAAAAAAGAAAGAAACAGAAGACAGAATAGAGCATTTCAAAAGAACTATCATAGCCATTAGTTCCACAAACACACTGCACCTAGCTCAGAACCAAATTCTGCCCTCAAAAAATAATGTGTCACTTACAATTATGTGTGTATGCACACAGAAAGTGATAGGGACAGGCAGAATGAGAGGACAGTCTAGCCCCCGAATTTTATAAAGCAGCATATGCCTCAGGTGTACAAGTGTCGTGGATATCCATTATACTGTTATCTTTGTTCAACAAGACTTTGTGTGTTTTGAAAATGGAGTTCATCAACAAAATTAACTAATTATTTCACAGAAAAAGTTGGTGGGGGGTGCGTTGCCTTTTAATTTTAATTCAGATTGCTTCTACCAGCTCTAGCTGTCAACGCTGGTTAAAATAAAACAGGCAAGCAGGAGATCTGGACCATTTTTATCATACTTCATATGATAAAATATGTATAACTTCAAAATAGTTAATAGAAATCTAGCACAATATTCATACATTGCAATTTAATTCAAATATGATTCACAGATATCCTTGTGGGTTAAGTATTACTATTCCTGTTATATGGAAAGAATTGCTAGAAAGTCAGTGGCAGAATAAGCTCCTAGATTTTGTTTCTGTGCCCACCCCACTTGTGTCCTATAGCTCTTCTTTAAAGGAATTTCACAATATTCACAATATTTATGCCAGTTCTTCTAGGAAAAAGCAATTTTCATGTTATGTGTCAGTGGCACAACCTAACACGTCCCATAGTGGATACAAATATTGCAAAGAGAGCTGGGCAAGAAATGTCTAAGTGCACATTTTGTAACTTTTCCATGCTGAAGTGGGAAATGACAGAGACCTTTCAACAGTTTTCATAGTAGATGAAGGAGGTAGATGGTTTGGGCATTCATCTGAAACATAAAAAAGCATGACTAAGCAGGTGCTGGTGTAGTCTGTCTTATTTCAGTCCAGGTTCTTTATCTCTGTCTTATTTAATTATAAACTGCAATATGAAAGATTTATCAGTTTAAAAAATAAAGATCTGATACATTTCAGCAAGAAATGTCATAATCTTAAAACGGGCATGTTACTATGAAAAGTTAAGGAAAAACAAATGACTATCCCTTTTATTTTTCCTGATTGCAATACAAAGTGATAAAGGCACCCAGCTTTGACCCATCCCGTGATCTGCATTGGTTGGGACAGTCCTGGAAAACAATTTCTTGCCCAGTTCCCCAGGACTTACTCGGAATGCTTCTCTGTCATGGAAAATCCACAGCTAAAAATTAAACTGAGGACCAAGATCGCCTTGGTCTTTGACAGATCAATTTCAGATTTCCACTGGAATCTAAAAGCAAAAGCAAAAGCACACCCAACGTGTGGCAAAGATAAAACAAATAGCTCTAAAAATTGCTGGAGGATCAGCACAGTGCTGATAGAGTAGTGAATCAAAAGGCACACATCCTTTAAGGCTTCATGCTGACAGTCCTGCACTGAAGGCACGAGACAACTCAGATGAGTCACACTGTGTTACAGCATTTATCATAAATCAATGCTATTAATGCAAGCAGACAAGATAAGTCACTATCTGATGTGTTAGTCGAGACAGAACAGGAAGAGACAGATTTTGTACAAACCAGTTGAACACAAAATAAATACAAAAGCATTTTTGTTCTTTGAAACAGCCCTCTTACTGGTGAAAAAAAAAAACATCACTATTCACATATCTTCAGAAATTCTTGTTTTGAAAGTAACATTTTGAATGTTATTTTCCTCCAGCCTAAAGGTCAAAGGGATTCTACAGGTGGCACATTCCTGTTACAACAACCACTCTGCCTTCTGCCCCGAAGTCAGGGGAAGGAGAGGAGCTCAAGGCAATGGGCCGCTGCATTAGGAGAGGATGAACCACTTCTTGCAGGGCTGCTCTCTTACCTACTCGTGCCTCCCTTCACACATCTTTCCTTGCGACTTCCACACTGCTTCCAGTGGCTCTTCATGCATTGCTGCCACGGGGGATGAGGAAAGATTGCCCATGTGTCAAGTTATTGGCAGTGCTTCTGCCCATAAAGTCAGTGACGTACCGTAATGACACCCTGTCCTCCAGAGCACTCAGGCAAGACTGCAAAGCGCTTGAGGAAAGGTAGCAGCTCTTAGCCTCAAGTTACTGGTGAAGGAACTGAGACACAGCATTAGCCACTGTGAAAACGGAGCCACGAAGTGGAAGCAGCCACTAATTACTGGTTTCTCTTTTCCACCACTATTTTGTCCATCATCACTGAAAAGTTAGTTATGCCAGATCATGCCTTCCTCAGCTGTTTGCTTACGCAGAAGAATAAACTGCTGCAAATCCCTTTTCCCTCTGAGAACCGACCCAGTGATATAGTTGCTTCATAACATTACTAGGCTGAAAAACAAGGAGTGAAACAATGAGAGCATGACACCTAAACCTGGTTCCTGATCCTTACCCCTCTCGAACTGCAGAAGTACTGGATTGCATAGGCAGCAGGGCCATCATTATCCCCAGGCTGACCTCCTGCGTAATGAAGGCCACTGAATTTCATTTGGTAACTGGGGCGGTGGAGGGAATTAATAAGGGGAGTTTGATTCTGCCTGCTGCAGGAGCTCTTGAGGCAGCTGAGGCAGTAGGAGGTTACCAGGAGGGTAAGGTCATCCCTTCCGTGCTCCTTCCAGGCAGTGAAAGCTCCATTAATTCTGTACTCTCCAAATGTAAAACTTCCAAGTATGAAAATATAGATAAGCCTTTATTCTCATTTATAAACTCATTTAACAACTTTTCCAAGCTTTGCCTACCAGGACAGACCCATCACCCTAAAGCTACTGGCCAGCCATGCGGCAGACCTTGCTGAAGTGTTGCCACTCTGCAGCAAACTCTGTGTTACTCACAGTCACAGAGAGTGGAAAAGTTCAAAAAATGGCCGGGGATGCACCACATACTGCCTTTTCTTACTGCTTTTTTCCAGGTCTGTAGTGGCCAGAAATCTCAGTAAGGAAGGGAAAGAAAACAGAAGAAAACAGCCTTTGAAAAGTTTAGCAAGGCATTTCTATCTCAAATACCAGAAAAATACTAGGAAAACATTGTATAAACCGTGCTTCTGGGATTTCTTTTGTCCTTATTTTACAGGGATAAAACTATGGTGAAAGAGAGCGAAAAACTAGAACACACTAATAACAGTAAATTTACAGGAGGGAAATCCCAGTAAAAATCACAGCAGGATCTTCTCCCTTCAAGCAAATTCAGACAGAAGTTGCCACACGCAATGCAGCCCAGAACATGGCCAACCCATCAAATGATGAGATTCAGCACGAGCTGTAGAGAAGCTTTTAAGCAAGTGACCAGTAGCCCATTGCAACAGGGAGTACCCCCAGTTTCAGCCCCGTCCTGTGGAGCTTCCCCAGTTCCCACCTGAGGAGTTTCTTACGAATCACTTCTCCGCGGGGACATTTGCTCCAGGAACAGCAGGAGAGGTCACTGCCCAGACACCCTGTGTGTCCCAAAGCTGCACTGCACATCCAGAAGAAGACAAGTCCATCATATATAAACACTGCCATCACTTCCTTCTTTATACATGCGGAAACTCTGCAACTTTAGGAAGGTTCAGAACAGTGCCTTTCCTCCGCCCCTGCTGTGACATGCGGGATGTATCCTGGGGATGCCCATTTGGCAGAAACCACCTTGGTTCAGTGGTTTATTAGCCATTTGTTTGCCATCTGAAAGACCCCACACAGACACTGGATGTTTTGTTTTCTTTTCCTGACTGCTTTCACACGTGAAGCTGCAAGGACGTGTCAATTGATCAGATGAAGCTACTGCACACTTAAACTCACAGCGAGCGTGCCAGGTGAGGAGTCCATGTAATCAGCTGCTTGGGTCGGTGCAGCTGCTGGCAACTTGTCCTCTGCTGGAAAACAGCCCCAGTGCTTAAAGGCTCCAATCCCACCCCATGTCTGCACCCCAAAATAAAGCTCCCCCTCCAGACTGCCCTTCAACTTATGTTTTGAAAAATTTCAGGATGACGGACAGAATTCGCAGCACAAGAAGTTTCCTCGCATGAACCAACAGTGGAATCAGAGTAAATAAGCATCACTCTGTCTCCTCTCTCCTCTACTGTAACCATTTTGTCCTCATTTGGTCCACAACAGGTTCCTCTACTGACAGCACGACAAAAGTCTCCACTGACCTTACCAGTTTGGGTTCCACTGTAGGTGCTCTGAATTGAAAGGCTCCAAGCTAGCATTCCATTATGCCACCTATAATGCATTAATATACATGCAATTAATTTTAAAAACTTTCCAGTTCTGAACCCAACTCATATACTTATAATAATTAAAATCTTCTAAAGTGCTGTACTTGTTGCATACACTTTGCCATTAGGTTTAAAATACAAGTGCTTACAGAATCGAGCTACGGCTGCAATTTCTCTTTCTGCATTTTCATCTTCCGCGAAGCTGAAGGGACAGCTTTTGTAGCAAGGACAGTCATTACATTTTTGAACAAACGGAGTTCATTCAGTGACAGGTTTATTGCTTGTTTGTCTCAGAAATATTTGCTACAATGGACATCATAGAAAATTGCAAGAAACTGAAATATTGAATGTAGTTTGAATTGCATTATATGGAATTCTACAGCTCAAATGGTATTTGATAAAACAATATTCTCGACTCAAATCACCGTGCCCAAGAAGGATGCTTGGGTCACTAACAAAAGCTGGATCTTATTTGTTTTCTGCCAATATTTTTGCTTGACTAAAGAAAGGCTTGAATCTTCTTGACATCATAATTTCATTGTATCCCAGGATCGGCACAGAACTGAATAACTCTGCTTGCTTGAGCTGCCAATGTTATTACTTTAAAAGTTTACAGAAGCAGGGAGTGCACTGTAAATTTGACATTCCTGTAGGATATAGAAATGTCGCATTTAAACATATCCCTCAAAATGCTTTTTCAAAATGGCAGGATTAGGGACACAGGTCATGTTTTTGACATTATTTATAGTCAAGTTGCTCAGATTACTTATGGAAAAAGCAGCCATGAGACTTATTATACCCACAGCCACCCATCACTCAGATATATGTTATGGTGAAAAGATAAGACCAGCTCCGCTGGGGGGAATGAACTGAGATGAGAAATGCTGGGCACTGCATGTGGCAGCATTTCAACCTGCAAACTCCCCAAACAGAGAGTTAAGAGTCAGCCTAAGGTCTCTCCCTAAGTACTGTGTTCTCCTCCCCAAAGCAGGAGACGAACTGCAGCCTGTGGGAGAGCTAAGTCAGGGAAGAGAGAATACAAACTTTAAACCAACAGGAGGTTTCAAGAGATGTGAGAGAAGTTAATTGTTTCCCACTAGAACATGAAATTTCTTACCTGACTCTGGAGTATGAAAAAGGAAAACTCTGAACGCTCTGTCCCTGTCCTATAATTCAGTATAATTTACCTTATCATTTCTACAGCATTCCTTAAAACTGATTTTAATGGGCACCTAAGCAGCACTGCTACATAAGCTCTTGAGAAGTATCAACAGAGCATGTTAATTTAATGCTACACTAACCAGCGTAATGTCAAAGCTCCTGGTTCAAATTTAAATATGCTTTCCCTCCTCTGGATCCTTCCTTACTGCTCATCAAGGATGAGCCTCAGTAAACAAACGTGTTATGTAAATTCCTCAGACAATCACCTGCATTTACAAGTTACAGATGAGCAAATCCTCTCCCCCATCCCCTCACCCCCAGGGGAGAGCCCCAGGCCCCAAGGCAGCACAGGGTGCCCAGCAGCAGCACGGCTGCTGAGAAGAGCTGAAGGAAAAGCCGAGGCACAAAGACCAGGCTGAGCCAGGGATGTGTAGGGAAGGCAAGTCAAACTCCATTCAAAACCACAAAATAACGAATTGTAACAGTATCTGACTTGAAAGGATTTTTTCCCCCCATTATTTTGTTCTGGAACTTGTAATAACCTGACATTTCTTAAAATACCAAAATTGAAGTACAAAGAGCCCAATTAAGTAATGCCGAGATTATGAAACAAGCCAGGTGCAGCACAAAAATTCAAATTAACGCTCATCGCAAGCTTCAAATCAAGTGTCAGTTTGCTCCTTTTTATTTTAATTTATTGTAGTCAACATTAGTTAAAGCTGGAGACATTTGTTCTCTTGCTAATGATACACACACAACTCCCACTTCCATCCCCCTGCTCCTTCCAATTAAGAACTTCTTCAGAACATTTCAGCTAGGAGGCTTATCTGGCACAGATTATTCACTGCATCATATGGATCCAGGTTCTTATGTCTGCGAGCTCTTTAGAGCAGCAATTTGTTCTTTGTTTAGCATATTTTGCAGCGCGCAGTGCTAAATAAGCTTAGGGAGCTCTAGTCACTGAGGCATGTTTGCGCTGGGTGCATTCGGCGTTGCCTCGTGCTTTGTTGTTGGAGTCTGTGCAAAACCCTGCCTCGGTGCCATGAATAAAATCCTGGCTGCCTCTAAGTGGATCTGTTTCTTGAGGAAACCTTCAGACTAAACACACAGAAATTAGTGGATCTGAGAAGCTCTGTAGGTGGAAACAGCACACATTGTATTACCTCGCTGCTCCCTAAGTATACGAAATGAGCAGCAGCTCACTGCTTACCTCCCTGCACAACTAATTGCCTTCCTTACCATGCTTCTGACACATCTTGCATGCACCCTGGGTGCATTTAACACCGACCGAGTAACAAAACAACACCAGTTCCTTCACGTGGGAAATTCAGTGCAGCTCACCCAAGTTAACCCTATTGCTTTTGCATTAGCTCCTAACTTTTCAGCCTCACTGAAATACATTTTGAGAACTAAAAACACCTGGCATGGTTCCTCTGAGGAGCATGGAACAGGTTTCTGCCATCGATGCTGAGCATGGAACATGCAGGACTTTATAAAAGCCTCACATCTGTTAGCATGGACACCAGAGGGGCTGGACAGACCCAGTGGCTGCATCTTCTCGTCTTGAGATTCATTTCCAACAGACTGCCAAACATGTTGGTGTTTGAAAGCCCTATGTCCTCCATGAGAAATGTTTTCTTCCCAGAAAATACAGGTTATGTCTTCGGTTTTGTTTAAATAAAGCTTTCTCACCGCTATCATTGTTAAGGGAACTGGAAATGGGCAATCAGTGCTCTGCACTCTTACAGGCTTTCCCCGAAGGGAAGGGAAATCCAACAAAACATTATCTTCCATCTCATGTGACTCTCATCCTCCCGGCTCACACATCGGAGACTGAGCAAGGGGTGTTTAGATAAGACACCGTAAGTGGTTACAGGGACTGTGTTGCCAATATTCCTGCTCTCAGCTGACAGGAGAGGACTTGTAATACCTGCAGGTTATAAGACATCTGAACCCAGGCTGAATCCCTCCGATGGCAGGAAGGATACTTAAAGTGAACACTTGATTTCCACAGCTGCTACACAACCTAAGCAATCAGTTCAAACACTGAGAAAGGCTTAAAGTGCTTAAGCTATCAGCACTTCTTTCTCTGACAGAGACACATGAAAAACAGAGACAAGAGTATGCTGACGAGATTTCCACTGAGGGAAAAAGCAATCTCACCAAGCTGCGGGGCAAGGCTCCTGCTTTCACTCAGTCCAGCAGAAATCTGCAGAAACTTCACCAGACTGCCCTTCACCAAACAGCATCGAGCCTTAAGCAGCCTTAGCCAAAGGAAATATTTCAGGTTTCTGGTCTCTTGACCTGATTTTAGTCATGCTTGCTTGATTGCTAAGCTCTTAATTCCAGCTGATACCAGGTTAGTATAAACTGAAATAGTTTGATTAGCATCGATGCCGGTTTATACCACATAAGGGCTCGGTCTGCTGGCTTTCTTAAAAGGCTTCTCAATTTACTCCAAAGCTTATGGGGGCGAAATCTTTACACTGGAGTTTCAAACTGCAAGCCTAATTTTGAAAAGGGGCTTGACAGAAAAGTTCTTCTCTAATATATAGATTAGAGGGGCAGAAAATGTGCCAGTTGGCATTAAACTTCACTGTCCTCCCCTCCCTCTGCCTGTCTAATCCACCAGAACACTCAGCTTACCCTTTAAATAAACAAGAACCAGTTCAGGTTGCATATTTTATCTCACAATTGCATTTGGTGCTCCAAAAGCACATTAAAAGTGGTTTTAAACATATATATTGTATATGTTTATGTGTTCTCTATCTTGCCTGTAGGGATTGATACTTTCTTAAAATTTTACATATGATTATATATGAATGAAAATAAGAGTAAGTTCAAAGCCCAACTAGTGTGCTTAGGACTTTGTATTTTAATAAGCATAACAGGCAATGATAAAAATACCTATCAGTCTCCAGTCCTAAAGGAAGAAAAGGATGGAAATTGCAAACTCAAACAGTCAAAACAAGGTAAACAAGAGTTAGGAGGCTTCCCCTTGTTTACTTTCAATGAAATTTGATACTTTTTCTACTTTCAAATATTTCAATATTTCAAACCCTTGTTTTGAAATTGGAAACCACTAACTCCAAACTTCTAGATATTAACACAGCTCCCAAAACATGCGTTAGGTTTTAACATTAATATGAGAAAAATCAACTTAATAATCATTTTAGTATTAAACTTACTTCTAAATCATGCACATTAAAACACTGAACACTCGCTCCTGAATATTTGTTCATATTTTAATCCTACAGGAATGATGAAATACAGATCAAAGAAGCTGCCTGTTTAGCCAACTACCTTAGTGAAAGGTAGGAACCAGAAAAGTAGAAACTCTCTCCCAGCTTTACAGGAGACCACGCTATTCCCTGCAGCAAGAGGTGCAATTATGGTCACCACTATTATCCAAGGTCAGAAAATTATTGAATACTATTAAAAGTTCATCCAAAGTACTTATACCTCAGTGACCTCCAGCGATCTTGAATTCCACTGGGTGACAACATATTGGCTTACTTATTGCCTCTTATTTGAGACGGGCCCCAAGCTAAACTTATTAAGAAGTGTTCGGATCCAAGGATTTGAGTCGACACAGTTTTAATTCGCAGCAGTTCTTTCATTTCAGAAGGTGTCTTATTTCCTTCTCTCAGGCATCTGGGAGCACGCAAAGCACGGGGAGCACACTTTGCTAAAAGCCCAGGGAACAGCATCATTAACCTTGATGCTGATTACACCTCCTGCCTTTGGACTGCGGGCTGCCACTGCAATAAATACCAGCAGCCAGTTCTACAAACGGAGCAGGCACATTTACAATCATTAATGATATTGTAGCTCTGTAATGTAGGTTTAGACCTCCAAACCCATCATGGAGTTGGGTGCAATGGGCACGTTGAAACCCAGATGCTGAGTCAGTGCTGGCCGATGGGGTGCCCCAGCACCACCCCTCCTGCCACAGCTGTGCCAAATGAGCTTTGCACGTGGGAGCTGAGCTGACAGCACGGCTGCACAGAGCCACGCAGCCATGCCAACAAAATTCAGTGCAAAAGGGATTAAAGTAGAGCCAACATTATCAGCAGGAAATTATTTTTCGGTACTTGCCTATTTTAGTTTTTTAAAACCTCACCTTTTTCTGGCTGCATCATGTTATTAAAGCACAAGGGTTGCGAATGCACCAAGACTACCCTGAATCCAGGCTCCAGTTGGTATAGCTCCCTTCAACAGAAGCTCACATCTATGGGTGATACTGGGGACATGCTAGGTAAGAAAACCACAGCCTGTGTTGGACTTCCCTTTCCACCACCTGAAACTGGTCCTGACCAGCTGTATGGAGTTGTCCCAGATAGCAGCACCAATGAGGGGCAGATGAGTCAGCATCCTTCTTACAAAGAGCTGATGTGGTTACAGATGAGACAGTAAGATATACAATACACCTTAACAGCTCTAGGAGTGCTGTAACTGACCTTCTGTCTTGTGCATCTTCCTCAAGAAGCTAGGGCAGAGCGCATATGGACCAGCAGCGAGCATCTTTTCAGTCCTGTCCCATCCCAACACGCTGCCTTCCCATGCCTTCCACTTTAGGCAAATGGAAAAACACTGAAAATGTATTTACCATCTGGAAGGAAGAACACTGCACGTTTCTCTTCTGAAGAAGGATCTTTCAGATACAAAGAAGTGTGAAAAAGTTTTAACTGCACTTACTGTAAGTTTTTAATTAGTTTTGACTTTTTTTTGAAAGTTCAGAGTTAGTGCTATTCCTCTATTCATAAAATGTTTAAAATTATCTCACAGTCCTGAAATACTTAAAGGATTTATTTTTTAATTAATCTTAATGTATAAATGAATTAACTAATATAATTGCTCATTTCAGAAAGTTAATTCTGTACTCAAAAGAGTAGATGCTATAATATTGGTGCCACATAAACTATTCTTTACAGATATTAAAGTAGCTGAATCCCTATTTTAATTGTCAAATCCGGATTAGGAAAGTTTTTGGCCATGAAGAATACTTTGATCTGTGTGTAATTACAAATCTTTACGTTGGCATGGTTTGCACTTCTGCAGCTAGCATTTCCCTGCCAAATGTGTCTTTGTAAATGTAACGTCTAGGTAGGTGGAGGTTTAATGGCTCAGACCTTCAAAGGAACTTATGGAGTCTGAAAGTTTCCAGTGTCCCACTTGATGGGATCTGTGTTTCAGATTTCCAACATTTCTGCAATCTAGGTACCCAAAGTTGAATGCCCCAAAGTTTAACCAAAGTTTAAACAAAGCTCCATTCAGAAATAATTCCGTGCCTTGCATAGGCGTGGTGTGCCGATACCTCAGCATGTTTAATTGTGTGTCCCTTAGCTGCTGAATTTTGCACAAACTTACCAATACCGTGTAGCAGCCAATCTGGGAGGCTGGGAGGCAGCTACTGCAATAATTCAGCTTGTGCTGTTATCCAGACATAAATCAAACCCTCTGTATCCTGCTGAGACAGCAAGACCCAAGCTTTGCTGAATCCCTACACTGATAAAAAAAAAAAAAAAAAAAAAAGGAAAAGAAAAAAAAGCCCTGACAATGTAGTTGATGTGGTACTCAAAGGAGAGCTTGAAGTCGCAGATGAAACCAAGATTACAAGGTGGTTGGAAAGTAAATAACAATCCCATCAAACAGAACCACACATGGAAGGGGGTTAGGAGGAACCTGCTGCTTAGCCAGTGACAGCCCGTGTGATTCAGTATCACAAGACAATCCAATTTACAAAGACAAAAAATGAAAGAAAAGTCCAATCCAATCCTTGGTAACAGCAGGAGAAACAGATACAAGGTATGAGTTGAGAACTGAAAGCGTTTGAGTCAAAATAGTTATGGAACAAATACAGGATGTTAGCTTGGTTATTGGCTAATTTAGACACACGTACATCAGGAACAAGTCCATTGACGTTCCTGGAGTTTACACAATGTAAAAGGCACACAAGTGAAATAAAGAAGCAGACACCTGCAACGTCAGATTCTGTCACCTTATGGAGTACGCATTTTTCTGTCTGAGATATCTGTCTAATCAGTGCCACTGAGGTTTCTGCTTTGTGGAATAATGCAATATATAGACTGGCTGAAGCTAAAAGCATCATCTTGTATATCTTTAGTAAAGCTGGTCAGGTTTTTTCTATCTGAATACTCTTCAGGAGACTACAGTTTCTACAAGAAAAAGCAGAATTTTTGAAAGAAAATGCCAACATCATTCTTAAAAATCAGATTTCCTTTAAGATAACAGAAAATGTTTAATTTTGGGGGTAATCTGCATGAATTAACCTATACACGTCTACACAAACCCTTTCTTAAAATGAGTCATAAGGTTTGGGGTTGGTTTCCCTCCAGACAGAGCACCTCAGCAGATGACAGCTGCGTAACCTGTGGCTGCGTGCGTGCCATGGGGTGGCTGTGCAGCAGGGAACACAAGGCGGGGAAATGGCAACTCTCTGAAGGCATTGCAGCTAGACTGGGAAGAAAGTAAAAACACTTCAAAATTCATTTTAAGAGGAGACATATTAAAAATTTCTAAGTAAAAAACAACAACAAAAACAAAAAAACAGTTCTAGCTGAAAAGACAAATATCAAAGTAATTAATCAAATTTCGCAGGATGGAAATACCCATTCTAATTATTTCTAATTTCTACTTTCTACTTTCCAACTTCTGATTTCCAATTTCAAATGCTGTCCAGGTCCGATGCGTAACTCTCAGAGGCATTTTGCATTGCATCTAGAGGAGTCTCTTGATTAAGGCTCGTTTTCCAGTAAAGATCTTTGATAAACGGGTTTATTTGAACCTTCTTACAAATTAATGGAAGCAAAAGTATTTTCATTAAGAGTCAGATCTTGCTTTTTTTTTTTTTTTTTTTTCAATAGGACTGCAATTCATGCTTTAAAGGCAAACAAGAAGTAATTCCTACTTCAAAAAACTGTTTCATTACACCAGTGAATAATATGCAGGAGGCAAAAACAGACTGGTGGGATTTTGGAGGGCCATGTACCACATGCATACATCACCAAAGATGCATAGGAGCTTTCTGAGCAGTCATACTTTGGTTTTGGATTCAGTGAGAGAAACCACTACCCTGAAACACGATCACATTGTGAGTTATCTTTGCCAAAACTCATAAATTCAAGCAAAGGGAAAACATATTGGGTGTCTGGAAACAGTGGAGGTAATTTTTCCCCTTGGACCTAGCAGAGGTTTTCACTATAATGAAAAACTCTGAGGCATAATTACAGAAATACGTTTTCTAGAAATGAACTGAGAAAGTGTTTCCCAGCCCAAATTACTTGGGTCTGCTTTGTACGCTAGAAAAAAATACCCATTGACATCACACAAACTCTTTGGATTTACACTGTCACCTCCTCATAATGCCAGATGTTGATACCCAGAGTCACTCTAAAAGCTTTACGGTGATCCTAGATCACTTCCTATCTGGGTCAAATGAGGCCCTAAAAACAAAAAGCAGAGAGGCAAGCTCCAAGACACAAGAACAGAAGTAACGAGAAAACAGCAGCAAAGCCAATCACAGCAATTAGAGCTCGAGGAGCACTCACAGAGTACCTAGAACAGCAAAATGTCTGGTTTCAGAGCACCTGAATGTCTCTGAATGTCCCTGCCTCCACGGGAGCTGAGCAAAAGCCATATCCGAGTCACACTGCACAGTTCTGGGTAGCTCTGTTCACAATATAAAGCAGAGTATTTTCAATTTGAAACTAACTAACATTATAGCTAGAGAATCAAATGAGCCAGAAAGACAAGTGAATATATATATATTTTAGAACAAAACCCAGGATATTCCAGCTGGGACCAAACCAAGTATCAAAATCTCAGAATTTCCCACATAGGCTGGAAATGCAGACAGTTCAAAATCATAGTTTTGATTCAAGGCTATCCCACAATCATTGCGAGTAGCTGGACAAAATACACAAAACTTGAGAACACCAGGGAAACCTTTTTTCATTAACCATAGTATTTGTAAAATAAATCTACCTGGACCTAGGATTTCTATCCCTTTTGCCCTTTTTATGGTTGCATGGACACAACTCCATGAGAGAAATGCAGATCCTCCCAGGGATGTAACAATATTGAAAATAGGACATTTGAGAGGATGCCAGGCCATGACTGAGCCCGCAGGAGGTAGATGCGCTGCTCGTACTCAGTCTCGCAGGGCAGGGAATTATATCAACACCATAAAACAACACAGGACATAATTCCTCGCTCTCTTCTCCCCGGGATTGTATTCAAGCAAAATCAGGCAACTGTGAGAGACAGAGGAGACCTGTCCTGCTCAGGGTGTTATGTTTAATTGCTGAAGGCAAGAAGCATTTTTAAAGGTTTGTCAATAAAATCCCTATTTAGTTAACCCCAATCTCCTCAGATCTCTTGTTACAGACAGCCTTCTGCTCTCAACATCTGGGCAGGCAAAGCCTCCAATTACACTGCTGGATTTGGTAGCTTAATAGACCCAGATAAGGGCCCCCCCGGTGTATCCATTTCCCTTGGTAACAGCTTATCTGCAGCCAGCCCAACCATACGCAACCTTTATGCCCCGCGACCTTTCCTTTTCTGTGGCTGGGCCCGCATCTGCCACAGCCACACCGTAATTTATGGGGAAGGGGCAGGGGGCAAGGAGAGAGAGGCCCGGCAGCACGGCCGGGACAGGCCCGCACCACACGGGCTCTTCCCTCCTCACCCTGAGGGGCAGCTGAGCTGGGGGCCAGGGTGGCAGCCATCCCCGGGGCCCAAACACCTGAGCTGCAGGCTGCAAATTGCCCCAGAGCCTCCAAATCCTGGCCCTTAATCCAAACCTGAACATGTCCTTGGCTGAAGGATGCTGAGAAATCCCGCAGAAGTCAGCTCAAGGCACACACACACTGTCTCTCCCACGCTGAGGTGAATCCACAACCACATTGCTGTGAGCTCCCTTCCTCCCTCCCCTCAAAATCCATGCAGACATTTGTCTTGTCTTCTCCTTTATTTTCATTTTCAGCTCCTCCTTTGCAATCAAATCAATGTCTTTAAAAGGTTTTTTAAAAGTTATCTATTTAATGTTTTCATGTTGAAAGTCTGACAGGGAATTTGCAGAGACCCTGTTGTAACACAGGCTGATTTCTCCTGCTTCTCTTAAAGGCCACAGAATTTCATTGCCCTCTGTTTTTCTCAGCCCATCTGTCAGCTAATTTGCAGGAACTAGTTAAATCACCTCTTCTCCATACTTCTTTCTCAGTTTTCCTCTACTTTTGCATCGAGTTCTGTGACAATGAACAAGGGCAGATCAGCTACAGAAATTTCTCTTCAAGCTTTCATTGTAACCTTCGAGTCTCATGTTTG